TCCAAGATTTTTTTGACTTTCATTAAAAAATAAAATCGTTTGTGTCGGATGGAAACGTTTTGAGGTCAAAACCCCCCACCCCAAACTCAAAGAAATAATTTTTTTATCCGACATCGATCTTTTGACGTCGTCCCTAATCTCATCGATTATCGTGTGTGAATATTGCAATAATGGACCAGCAAGTATTCATAATATCGTCATATGACATCATGTGACATGGTTATGGTTGAATGCATTCTTGGTACTAGTTGAATTATGGTTACGTCACATAAAGGCATATACATTGAGGTTATGGCATACAACCTAGAACGCTCTTTGGGCAATTAATTATTCAAAATTGCCGTGGTACATATCATTAAACTACAAGTGTAAATACTAATAAACTTTATGCAATCCAATAATTTCGTTTTATTTTCTCACATATTAGATGCACCAAACCAGGTGTCTCCTGCCTCTCCTGTCGTGGTTTCCCAAAGCTCTGCTCAAGCTCAACAGGCAGTGCCACAGGCGTACTCCAACCCACCTCCCAACTATGCAGGACAAATACCACCACCAGCTGTGTACTAGTCCTAAATATGACGAACCGCATAAATCGATTTGTTGCCATAGTAACTTAATTTGACACTTTCCGACTTTCACATTCATGACATTTCGTTTGTCAATAAAATACTAAAGAAAGCGTTCATTCTTTACAAAATATAAATGTCATGTTAATTATTTACTATTGAGAACACAAACCGAATTCCTCAAAGTTTATAAATTCTAATGACGTCTAAATCTCACCAATCTACGTGATAATAAATATACCGAGTACATTTGTTAAAACTTATAAACGTCTGATGACGTCACATATTAGGTACTGTATTAACAATTTAAGGACACGTCTACATCTACATGATTCTCTTGAACAATGTGTATTACTAGTGTGTCTTATTACGTTTTCTGATTGCGTTATATTTAAACTCGAATTCCTTTTGATCTTTTGATCTGATCAATAATACTCTCGCAGATAACGTTAATCACAATTTAGATCCACTTCTTCATAGCTATTTAACACGATTTTCTACTAAAGATAATTTTTGTATTCTTAAATTAAGACTGTCACTGTCAATATTAAAAATTCAGCCACGAAGCCCGAAATCATATGAAAACAGTAAATCCTAGACATGTATTTAAAAGTAAACTTAAAACACATTGCGATCTGTTTTATCACCATTGATGGTTGTCTATAGCATACTAGTGATTTCATTTTCAATTGTGAAGTTGTTTGATTTTTTTCTCATGGTTTTCATTATGCTGTCCATGTTTTCCATTTATTGTTTTCATCACAATTATGATTATCATGTTTACTATTATTATTTTTGTGTACAGTGTATTTTTAGTTTACTAGTGGCTTAGTGTGTGCATTATCCACAGTAGGCATTAGCCAGTGTGTGCATTGTCCACATCCACAGTAGGCATTAGCCAGTGTGAGCATTATCCACAGTAGGCATTAGCCAGTGTGAGCATTATCCACATCCACAGTAGGCATTAGCCAGTGTGAGCATTATCCACAGTAGGTATTAGCCAGTGTGAGCATTATCCACATCCACAGTGGGCATTAGCCAGTGTGAGCATTATCCACAGTAGGCATTAGCCAGTGTGTGCATTATCCACATCCACAGTATGCATAAGCCAGTGTGAGCATTATCCACAGTATGCATAAGCCAGTGTGAGCATTATCCACAGTAGGCATTAGCCAGTGTGAGCATAATCCACAGTAGGCATTAGCCAGTGTGAGCATAATCCACAATAGGCATTAGCCAGTGTGTGCATTGTCCACATCCACAGTAGGCATTAGCCAGTGTGAGCATTATCCACAGTAGGCATTAGCCAGTGTGAGCATTATCCACATCCACAATAGGCATTAGCCAGTGTGAGCATTATCCACAGTATGCATTAGCCAGAGTGAGCATTATCCACATCCACAGTGGGCATTAGCCAGTGTGAGCATTATCCACAGTAGGCATTAGCCAGTGTGAGCATTATCCACAGTAGGCATTAGCCAGTGTGAGCATTATCCACAGTAGGCATTAGCCAGTGTGTGCATTGTCCACATCCACAGTAGGCATTAGCCAGTGTGAGCATTATCCACAGTAGGCATTAGCCAGTGTGAGCATTATCCACATCCACAGTAGGCATTAGCCAGTGTGAGCATTATCCACAGTAGGCATTAGCCAGTGTGAGCATTATCCACATCCACAGTAGGCATTAGCCAGTGTGAGCATTATCCACATCCACAGTAGGCATTAGCCAGTGTGAGCACTATCCACAGTAGGCATTAGCCAGTGTGTGCATTATCCACAGTAGGCATTAGCCAGTGTGAGCATTATCCACAGTAGGCATTAGCCAGTGTGAGCATTGTCCACAGTCGGCATTAGCCAGTGTGAGCATTATCCACAGTATGCATAAGCCAGTGTGAGCATTATCCACAGTAGGCATTAGCCAGTGTGAGCAT